CAGCGTCTACGTACAGCAAGACTACATCGTCTGTAACCATAGCAACCAAGTGAGCTCAAAACAGGACAAAATAGAGTTTAGAGCTCAATGTGAGAAAAAAACAGGTAAGAATAAAAATACGATTGTGGCTTTCAGTATTTTCTTGTTCGCAGACTAGCAAAAAAAAATGCAACATACATTTTTGTACTTTGATCAATTCAGGACAATGTAATGTTTTGTCCGTCAAGATTTGAATGGAATAAGTATTAAAAGAAATAAATAATTGAAAACAAACAAAGCAACCAGATATGTTCACACCAACAAAAGATTCCTGAAACAAGTTTTAATGAAAATATTCTGCCAAAAAAAAAAAAAAAAGCACCAACCATTTTTAACAAACACTCCTAAAGGCCTCTGATTATTTTTAATTTGTTGAAGAAAGACCCTCCACATTAATGCCAGAGTTTTAAATTAATATATTTTTATGTTGGGTGCTGCCAATTTAAGCAGGTCGACCACACCTGCAGATAGTTATGATTGCAGGTGAGGTGTCTKTGTGAAAAGAGACCCACATACTCGCACGTAATGTGTTACAGTGGCAGGTCGGTTACCTGTGTTATCAAATATGGTTTTTTTTACAGTTAACTTTGCAGCCATCTCAGTTGGGGTATCAGTCGGTGTGGCTCTTATTGGCTCCATTGTGTTCATATTCTGTAAGTATATCCTAATTGTTGACTTTTTAAAAAAATACTTTAACAAACTTTTGTTAAAAAGACACTTCTTGCATTTAAATATCATTTGTCTGGTGTAACGAGTACCTGTTTTCTCTCAGCTCATCTTGTCAATGTTTTTTTAATGTGTGCTCCAGATTTTAGTTTAAGTTGCTTCATTTATTCAAGTGATATAACTTTTTTGTAAACTCTGTTCAGTTTTTAATTAGATATTGCAAACWATTAGCATTTAGTAGGATGTATTGAAAGTGACTAAAAGTAAATAAAAACAGTTTCAAGTTAATTTTACAAGAATGCAAATTAATCATTTTTATTTTATAAAGTTCATAACTGMTCTGTCAAATATTTATTGACTGTTTTTAAATAAAATTCTAAATGTGTTTTTGCAACAGTTTCACACAATTTGTGATCCTTTTGTAGGAATATTTAGATATTTGTGTTTTAAACATGAAATGTTCAAATTCTCTTCATCTAATCTGACCGATCACTTCCCTCCCACCTGGAAACAAGTAGATTATTAATAAACTTATCTAATATTTTATTAACAATAGAAAAGCAATGGTACAAATGCAAATTAATTTTAATAAWTAAATTGAAATTAAGGAAAAATGTTTAGTAATGCATGTTATATAAGGTTGTGCATTGTGAACAACTGATACAAGTTTTATTTTTGCTCATGCTCTTCCTCACTCAGCTGATCAGGGATCTCTGCAGCCATGTGGAGCTCCTTTGGTTTTGCTTCAGCTTCTTTGTTGGAACTTTTGCACTGCAGCATTAAAATATCCTGATCCACATTTTCTCTTTATTTTAAAAAAACCAGTTGAATCAAGTTGAAGGTTATTATTTGAGAAGTTCAAATGAGCAAAAGTTAATAAGTAAACGTTTGTCTTCCATGAAATGACAAACAAATCCCATAAATTACTGCTGCAGTCCCTGAGGTTTTGTAAAGTTCTGTCTTTCTGTTTGGAGCATCACCTAAAAGTGAACTTAAGAAAATAAAACACTTCAAACAATTCATCTGATATTTTTATGACTGACCTACAGGTAAAAGAAAAGGCTCTCACAAAACATTACCCCAGGTAAGCAGCCATTTGTTTCTTTAAAAAAATGTCAGAAATCTACAGCAGAAAGTGTTTTTGCTTTATGTAGAGCTTTGTAAAGAGCTCAGTCCAGTACATCACGACACTGATGCCTTTGATCCAGCTTCTTTGTGTGAGTTTTACGCACACATATTCTTGTTTCAAACAAAACCCTTCTACATTACAGAGCAMCAATCCAGATGAAAACCCTGCAGCTGATTCTCCAACAACGACCTACAGTTTGGTGCAGATCTCCAAACGTCTTGCCCCAGGAGAGGAGAACAGACATAAAGACAAACCAGAGACAGTGTACGCACAGATTAACAGAGTACCAAAACCAGACTCTGAAGATCCTACAGTCAACAGCTGAAAAACAAATACAGTGGTTTGCAAAAGTATTCATACCCCTTGAACTTTTCCATATTTTGTCACATTACAAC